CCCAGAAGAATTTTAATCCTTTTCCCTGCACAGACCATACCCTCCTTTTCCCATCACTGTTTTCCTCACCCTTCAGTGGCGCCTTTGGAAGCAGGAGCCAAACTGAGCTGAGTTTGCCTGTCTGGAAGGACAGCAGCCAGTGGACCCCTCTCCTGCCTGCAGCTTCAGACTGTTTCACCCCAAAGCTTGGGGTCCAGAATGGGGAGCAGCTGCTGGAGCAGAGCTGGGGTATTGCATTTGCAGGGTCCTGTCTGCATCACTTGGGCTTTGTTCACTCGCTTGGCCTCGCTGGGTTAAAGCTCCAGCACTGCTGTTGCTGGGCATTGCAGTAGGGGAGCCAGAGCTTTGTCCAATCTGTGAAATGCAGGGATTCTCACAGGTTTCACCTCCCACCACCTGTGGGATCAGCTCCTTGCTAGACTCCTCCCCACACCCTCTCCCCTGAAGCCCTCAGGTCTCGGGAGTTACAGAGGTGTGGATGTGCAGGCGCCACCATCAGGGTACCAAGGATGGAGAATGTTGCTCCTTCCAGGGAGGAGCTTTGTCCCACACCCGCAGGGGTGGGACAGCCCAAGAGCATCGAGACCAGACCTTGGTTTGCAGGACAAAGAGAAGCTTTATTTGATTTCAGTGTGTGGCACAGAGCTGAGAGAAGGGTGAGAGAGGTTAAGGAGGGGGGTGATAGTGGGAGAAGGTGCTTTTGATGATCCATATGGCAAGAACACATCAGCTGGGATCTGCTTTGCTGTGCTGGGCGAGGTTTGCAGCAGAACAGGCAATGCCTCAGTGGGCAGCCTGGGTGATCTGCTCCCGGGAAGAGATCACCTTCCCATCCTGCACCTCCTCGAAGATGGTGCGGATCTGGCGGGTGGTGACTGGTCCTGCAATGGGGAAAGAAGGAACCGTTATTTCCAGGGCAGCAAGGAGGAAGTGTTTTAAAGATCTCTGTCTTAGAGATTTGTTACTACAATCATCGCATCAGAAACCCAATATAGCACCACGTTCCCACTGCTAAATTGTACAGATTCAGTCTGTTCACATAATTTCTGACACTTATTTTGGTATATCATAATATTTGTTATATAATTAATTTGTTATATTGTAAAACTTGGTATAACAGTTCAAATTTTGAAAATATAATAAAAGAGTAACTTTTGTAGAAAAGTTAAAAGAGTCTGTGCTAAGAAGGTGGGTGAGGGTATGAGTGCTGTGTATGATCAGAGCTTCATCCAAGACCTGTTCTTACCTTCTTTCACAGGCTGTGAGGTGTAGTGGGAAGACATGCTACAGGAGAAGAACAAGGAAAAGGTGGTGAGAAACAGGAAAAAGTGAGTAATCTCCAAGAAAAAAAAAATTATTTAAATCCTGTCTTTACTTATTGTACCAACACATGATTAAAATGCTTCTGGAAACTCCCAGTGTCCCAACTGAAGGAAGAAACTGATAAGGATGGGTGACACAGGGATTCAGACACGAGTGCAGCACCACCCCAGCTGCAAGCAGCAGCACCTGCTCCCTGCCCAGGATCACACAGACATGGAAGAATGGGAGGTGGAACCCAGGGATGCTGCAGGGCTGTTACAACCACTGGGATGTTGTGGACGGGTGGGACTGAAAAGGGAGATCCTGCTGCATGCAATGGGTCAGGGAATGGGCTGAGAGAACTCTCTAGGGGATGCAGATGGTTCATTTTCTGTTTCCTTTGCTATGACCCGTCTGCTCCCACCCGCCCTCACTCACTG